TATATGTCTAAAATAAGGACAGGAATATAAAGAAATCTTCAGCAAGTATATGAAGGATTCTTAAAGGGATGGTATGATCACATAAGTTTGTAAATTTTGTTATGCATACTTTAGAATTTGCTAGAGGAAATAAATGCCTAATATTTCCGAGATTTCAGAATTTCAGGAAAGAAGGGTGATTAAAAAAGAAAAGAAAAGCCACCAACAAACCAGAGGGAATCCAAATTAGTACTCTTCTCGTTGCTGTGCAGAATAACGGACAGCAAGGTCATACGGTGGGGGAGGAAGACACTCAGTTTGGTTCCTTTACAAAATCTATGTGAACTCATAAAATGGGTTTTTATTTTTTTCATATGAAGTTGATTATTGTTCTTTCCAGGTCTGTGTTGGGATTTTGATGGGGATTGCATGGAATCTATAGATTGCTTTTGGTAGGATTGCCATTTTTACTATGTTGATCCTCCCTCTCCAAGAACATGGGAGATCTTTCCATTTTCTGGTATCTTCTTCAATTTCTTTCTTTCAAGACTTAAAGTTCTTGTCAAATAGGTCTTTCACTTCTTTGGTTAGTGCTACTCCAAGATACTTTATGTTATTTGAGGCTATTGTGAAAGGTGATATTTCTCTAATTTTTTTCTCACCTTTGAATCATTTATGTATAGGAGGGCTACTGACTTTTTTTTAGTTGATCTTGTATCCTGCCACATCACTGAAGGCATTTGTCAGCTGTAAAAGTTCTCTGGTAGAGATTTTGGTGTCACTTATATATACTATCACATCATCTGCAAATAAACCTTTCTCCCAAGGATGCACATCCAGAAAATAAAGTCACCCACCCATCTTCCGACTAAGGTCAGTCCTCTCTGAAAATGCCTTTAGAAAAATACACAAATTATTTTTCTTAGTTTATAATAAATCTCATCAAATTTATAAGAAAAATAGCCCCCTCAAATTTATGTCTTTACTACTTGCTGCCTGAAAGCATCACTTTTAACATTAGACCAAACTTCTTAAGTATGTATATTCACTTCATGAAGCCAAATTAATTTAATAAACCTCTAAAAATCCTATAGCCGTAACACTTACAACATTGCACAAATGTCTCTGATCCAGAATCTTAGAGGGACGACGCACCTGTTAAGAGTGGATATTCATCCTGCTGAGGGGTTAGGTTTTGTTTCCAGTGTTTACATTAGGCTCTGCAGAGTTGCACAAAACTCTACTCCATGATCTGTTCTGGCATTTGATATCATCTTTTTTAACATGTATTAAGTCAAAAATATATGACATAACTTGAAATAAAAGAACTATTTTTAAGTATATGATCCAATTTTCCCCTGAAACTCAAAGTCATAGTATATCTGGGCTTAAAAACATTCTGTACTTCAAATATGTGTACATAACTTCAAGAACTACTGGATAGTGTTATGCTTTAAAGTTATGCCATTGAGTAGCAAGCTGACAGGAGAAAGTGTTGAGATGGCTAGTATTGATTGTCAATTTGATGAGATTAAGTTTTAGAGACCAACTGTCTCTAAGTGCAGAGATAGCCAGTGAGGTTTAAGCTTGGTGAGAGGATGTTCTGAGTGTGGGTAGCTCTATTCTCTATATTTAATTCTTGGGCATAAAATAAAACTGTGTAGAATATAATTTGAAGATACACTCTGTAATTTTGTTCCTTCTCATTGTATGTCCATGGCGACCATGATCTTAACAACTATGAGTTCTCTATCATCAAGTGCTACACCTGGAAGCCATGAACTAAAGTTAGACCTTCCTTCCTCATGTCGACTTTTATCCTCGTATATTTTGCCACATATTTGAGAAAAGTAACTTACACAGGTGGTATGACAGGAGTTTTTAAACACAGTTCATAATTTTTGTGTTTTGTAACATTTTTAAAGATATAATGTTGTCTCCAACATCATGCATTGTTTAACTGAAGAGATACATAATTAATTGTGGGAAATATATGAGCATGTTCTTCATGATCTAACACAGTGTATTTTCTTGCGAATAGGTGATGTGTTCTGTATGAAGTACCAATTATTACAACACTAATTGTCTTAAGACATAGATAGATTCTTAATAAGGCTCTCCAAGATTTTCCTTTGGGGACTCTCAAGTAGTAGCCAAGTGACATTCAAAGGTCTGTTATAAATATTTTGACTATATGAGGTTTTAAATGAATCCATACCAAAGGTTACAAAACGGTAAAATATTTTTTATATTTGTATACTTATTATGGAAAATGATCACAGTGTATTATTTGAGTTTCCTTGCAACATTAGAGACGCAACAATATGATATGATTTTAGATTTTCCAAATGAGGTTCCTTGCAACATTAGAGATGCAAAATATTATAGGATTTTGGATTTTCCAAATGAGATTTATATTTTCTATTTTCCCTTCAGGTCATCCACTGACAGAGGGAGCCCTAAGGTTTATGGAAAAAATTTTCCTCTTCAAATTAAAGTTACTGGAACATCTTCGTACAGTATCTAAAGAGTAACTCTTCTCAAGTAATGTAAAGAATCTGAATAATTTTAAGGTAAAAATTTCAATGTTGTATAAATAAAATGTAAAACTGTGCTCTCTAAAACAATTTTTAACGTATTATAGTGTTGAGGAAATTGGAACATATATGGATAGCAATGTAATTTAGGAGAGATTTATGCACCCTTATTTCTCCTATTTACCATTTTTCAGTATTTTTCCAGCATTTTGGTTGGTATTGCTGAATGTCAGCCCTCTACCACATCTCCTTCCTGAGCACAGAGATTTTTCTCTCTAAATTGTCCAAATTGGATTTATCCTTATGTTGCACTAGAGCTGTGTTTTCCTAAATGTCATCTCTAGTGACCTTGTTTTTGTGTACTTGTCCTGGAAACTTTCGTGGAATTCCCTTCAGCTTAAGCAGCCATCTGAGCAATCTGTATATTATAATCATTTATTGACATAAAATAAGACATCTTAAGATTTTTGTTGTTTAGCAGAATATCTTGTATATTTTTATCTTTGCCTCCTCCAATAGAGAATAAGATGCCCCCGTACTCTCTACATAAGTCTCTATCACTTAGTCATCTCTCTCTATGTCTCTCTGTCTCCCTCTCTGTCTCTCTCTCTCTCACACACACACACACACACAACCCCCCCACAAAGTTCTGTAATTAATTTTGACCCTATAAATAATATAGTTTTAATATAAGGTATTTGATTTCCATCAGAACATATCAGATAATATTTAAAAGCAAATTATAAACACTATGACATGATAAAAATATTCAAGAAAACAAGAATTCCTTTGCAACTGGGATTCTAGCTTTAGAAAGTCACAACTCATTAGAAATAACTTTCACAGAAACCAAACACTGAACATATTAGTGAAAGGCGGAAAAGGAACTTAGTAAATACAATTGCATTGAATAGTTTTCTCTTTAAAAATACTGATAAGAAGTCCACAATTAAACAGAGGAAAAGCCTAAGAACCACTGTGTCAGATTGTGCTGTATCATCATTATTTGTCTGAGCACATAGAGTCTCAACTGTATCTTCAACATTACAGTTGACTCAGCTTAGAAAGACACACCCTTTTTCATCTAAATGGGAGTATTGTCAGACATTTTATTTGTTTTGCAAGGTGATTATATATCAGATGTATCATTTAGAAGACTGGATATTTGTTCCCAGTAATTTTTATTAATTCTCCTAGGGTCAGCCTCATCAGTGAGTCACCTGCCTGCAATCCTCTACTGTTCAAGCAAGGATTAGGGGAATGAATGTTTTTATATGTGGCCCTTTTGTAGTATGGAATACATGATGTAAAATATGGCAGTTAATAAGTTGGAAATAGTCTGGGTTCTTTTCTTTCCTTCAAAAGGATTATACTGGCTTTAGGAAAACAACATACTTGTCCTCAATGTTGAGCAAGAATTTATTTAAAGTTTATGACAGACAAAAACAAAGAAAATCATGGGAGCGATGTCAAACTTTTCTCTTATCATTAGCATTTCATTGGGAATTTACTGTGGTTTTAGGTAAAGCAGCATCTAAAACACCATTAGTATTTCATTAGTATCTTTTATGAAAACTGTTAAGAAAAGAGTTGACACATATATTCAGCAAACTAATTCAACTTCTGTTACCCAAACTTATAGCCATAGTATACAAATGCAAGATTGTGGTTACAGAACTAAATGAAACCCACACATTTTATTTTTAGATTTTAGGTATTTTATTTTATTTTTCTGTACTTTTATTTTGTTTATTTCTGTGCTTTAATGCATAATGCCAATATTATATATGATAATGTTATCTTTTTATACATTCATACTTACCATATCAAGGTAATTTTTAGGCTTATCTTTATGTTAATCTATGATTTCTCTACTGTCCAAACATTCAAAGTTATTTCTTATACCTAGATGAAATACACTCAATATTCATAAAAAACCTGATTACCACTTAAATGGAAACAAGGCTTCTTCAAAACACAAAGATTCCTGCTAGAATAATTATGACTATAGAAATTAAACAAAATAAGGCTGATTTATACCACACTTGCTTGTGCTGCTCAGGCTTAATTTTAAAACGGTGAGGAGTTATGATTCTGTAGCTCAATTATAGAATGTAGGTATATTTACTGAGCCTTAAAGACAATATAAGGAGAGAGAGGGGGAAGAGAGAAACACAAGAGAGAGGGGGGTGAGGAAAGAAAATCAGAGAGAAGTAAGCAAGTGAAGGGAGAAGGATGGAGAGAGAGGCACACAGAGAGAATATACAGATATACAGTAGGGAAAGAGAGGGGGGAGAGAAAATGAGGGATTGAGGGGAAGGGAGAAAGAAATAAGAATTTTTGAAAATGTATTTGTACCTTAAGTGTAATTTCTTGATCCCTTTCCACGGGGCATTTCTGTATGTCATTGTTATCATTTTGGGGGGTAATGCTAATTTTTACTCATTTTTCTTTTCCTCTTAAAGAGACTGAAAAGATTCTGGTATGCGCAATATCACTGCAATAACAGAATTCATCCTTATGGGGTTCTCTGATATCCATGAACTACAGACTCTATGTGGAGTATTATTCCTAGTGATGTACGTGGTAGCCCTAGTAAGTAACCTGATCATCATCACTCTCATCTCCCTTGACCTGCAGCTTCAAACACCCATGTACTTCTTCCTGAAGAATTTGTCCTTGTTGGATGCCTTTTTTGTGTCTGTTCCAATTCCAAAGTTCTTTGTCAGTAACCTAACTCACAACAGTTCCATTTCCATTAATGGATGTGCCTTCCAAGTGTTTTTAATGACTTCGTTTGCAGCAGAAGTCTTTATCCTGACAGGTATGTCCTATGACCGCTATGTGGCCATTTGCAGTCCCTTACACTATCCAACCATAATGAGTAGTGGTATGTGTGTGCTTATGACAGCTGTTTCCTGGGCTACTGGAGTAATAGTTGGAGCCATATATACAGCGGGCACATTTTCCATGCCTTTCTGTGGCTCCAATGTGATCCCACAGATTTTTTGTGATATTCCCTCCTTGCTAAGGATCTCATGCTCTAAAACACTTGCGGCCATTTATTCAAGTCTTGGAATTGGAGTTTGTGTAGGCTTGTTTTGTTTCATCTGTGTGGTGATCTCTTACTTTTACATTTTCTCCACTGTGCTTAAGATTCCTACGACTGAAGGGAAGTCCAAAGCATTTGCCACGTGCATCCCCCACCTCACTGTGTTCACTGTTTTCCTTGCCACTGCTTGCTTTGTCTATGTGAAGCCACCCTCAAGTGTCCCATCAATTACAGATAGGATTTTTTCTGTGCTCTACTCTGTGTTACCTCCAACACTTAATCCTGTGATTTACAGCCTGAGGAACACGGGTGTCAAGTGTGCTCTGAGAAGATGGCAGCAAAATCTCTGCCCAAGGGGTTCACTTCATGTCACATTTTAAAGTATCTGTCAGTGATATAGTGATTCATGAGTGACAATTAAGGTTTGCAATGTTTGCTGTTAGAAATAGAAGGGTAGACATTCATCTCTTGCCCCCAGTAATTTGAAACTCTGATTAAGAAAAATATTTTCTAAGTTCAGAAAATTAGATTATGTGAGACTAATATATAAAGTCACAGTACCAATATCTTTCCTTCTGTAATAAAGTAATTCTCATTTGAGAAATATAATTTTCTAAAAGGATTAATAATTATCACAGTAAGATTCCATTTTCGGTCATGTGATGACCCCTTATTGTGTTCATTAACAAAAGTATCAAAATAAATAATCAAATGGGGAAGGCATGTGAGTTATGAAGGTAAATTCACACATAGTTTCTATGCCAGTCATTCTAGTAGTGAGAAAATCAGTAGGAAAGCCCACAAACTAGAAACAGCACTCTGGAGATTCAACTCGTTCTTTAAAACAGTGTCACGTCCTTAAAGTAGTACCCAATGCTTAAAACCATGAAGAAAGAGTACAGCAGCCAAGTTCTAAAAGAAAAATAATAGCCTTTAGTTTGAGGGTATTATCAGAAATACCCTGAAGAGGCAGAAATTTTGTTACTCCTGTTCTGCAGTTCCTCTTGAATCGAAATATTACTTACAGTTGAGATATGGCAGGTAAATGAATCTGAAAAACTAAATAGCCTTACAAGGTCTGTAGTAATGATTCTCAACCTGGGGATCAAAGACAATTTGAGGTCTAACTACTCTTTCACAGGGATTGCATATCACGTATCCTGCTTATGAGATACTTATATTAAATTCATAAAAGAAAAAAATACACTTATAAAATAACAACAAAAGAATTTTATGGTTGTGAGTCAGTACTGGAACTGTATTAAAGTGCTGTAGCATTCGGAAGGTTGAGAACAGGTGTTCTAGAAAGTTAATAAAGATAAAGACAAATTTCTCTCCCCAAATTACAGAAGTGTTAAATAATTTCTGAGGTAAGAAGATTCTGACTAGCCTATATGCCTATACAATGCTCTCTGATCTGTGAAAACACATGCAACCTACATGTGAAACTACAGCTATAGTAGTTGTGACTGGGAGCTTTTTTGTGCTATGGCTGGTTTTAACTCCTCCATGCTCCTATAAGTAAGTAATCCAAATAAACTCATTGTTCAAAATGTTGGACTATGTAGGAATTCCTTTGGTCTTTCTTTGGTTGTCTATCTGGTTGGAGTAGGTGTGTTTTATTCTCCAGAGGAACAGTTAACACAACAAGGGTCCATGTATATCTGTTAGCTAAACTGCGGGTCAAAAAGAATTACCTGTAACTATCTGCAGGTGAGTGTTCCCATTGCTGTCTAGAAAAAAGTTATAGAACTACTATAATTGCAGGGGAAAAAAAAAACACCTTTCTATGAAACATTTCCTTTGGTGAATTTACCAGTGTCTTCAAATTAAAAAGATTTTCTTTAGCATGTATGAAACTTCTTTGGTCATTTTATGTTTTATCAGTATAATTATCTGTCTTTTATATTTAGTTTAATTTTTCAATTCTAGAAAAATACGTTTAAATGCATTGCTTCTTTCAGTTATTTTTTTTTTTTATTTTTGGTTTTTCTAGACAGGGTTTCTCTGTGTTGCTTTGGAGCCTGTCCTGGAACTAGCTCTCGTAGACCAGGCTGGCCTCGAAATCACAGAATCCGCCTGCCTCTGCCTCCTGAGTGCTGGGATTAAAGGTGTGTACCACCACCACCCAGCTTCTTTCAGTTATCTTAATGGCAAAATTCACCTCCCTTGTCCTATCCCTTATTAGTCTCACACATACTAAGGCAAATCATTTATCTTTCTCATCCAAAGAAAATATAAAGGGGCTCATTTTTCACGGGTACACTCTGGGATCTTCACAACCACTGTCAGTGACAAAACCCATCAGCAATGTCTAATTCCCCCAAACCTCTGTTTGACACTTTTGACAAGCAAGAATATATAAGAAAATATCCCTACTATGCTTTACTTAGCTCCATCCACTAGCTATATGTGATTTTGGTTGATTGCACATTAATGTAATTTCAAGGCCTAGTTCAGGATAAAATAGGATACAGATAAACCACATCACACCAAAGACAGCCAATAGGATAACTAACCCCTATACAAATCCATTTTCCTTCTCTGCCATTGCTCTCACAGGATCAGTCTTTCTGTGCTTTGGTAGTCAGCTCTTAATTGCTTTAATTTTACAAATAAACTTCTGTTTACTGGTCTTTTGTATCTGTTATTGATTATTACATTGATTGTATAATTTGCCTAAATTGTGTTAGTATTATTAAAAATCTCATGAGTTAGAATTAAGATAAAACTCTTGATAAATTCAAGGAACAGTGGAGGGGCAATCAGTTGACCCTAATCTCCAGGTTTTCCCATTTAAAAGCCCTGGAAATCCCTTTAGGCTCACCCTTTCTTGCTATTCCTCTTTCTCTACCTTCCTCTGTCCTCCAACAACTCTATGTCTAATCCCAGTCCCTTAGTATTGGCAAATTAAAAAAAATATTCCATTATTTATCCTGTCTTGGTGAGTCTGAAATTTTGTATCTTGTAACCAACTCTTCTAAATAAGAACAAATATTGATCAAAAACCACCCGCCCACCTCTTGAGAATGTGGGCATCATGTTCTTAAAATTGCTTCTTGATATTTGGGGTTGATAGCATCTTTAGGGTACCCTGCAAAAAATTAGATGAATATCAAGTCCAGAGAGTGCTAGCAGTTGAATAGTCTCAGTATGACTGGAAAATTCAAGGCATTCCTGAAGTTTTGGCTGGAAGAGTCTTTGATGCTGAATCATCATGACCAGAACAGCTGGTAACTGCATACCCTGAAACTGAAAATTTAGAGGCACGGGTCCCTTCCTTGTTTCTACTGCCTAGAGTAAAGCTCCAGACCTAGGTCAGTAAAAACTGCAGTGTCTGGTATACGCTACCTTATCAAGAGCCATCAGTTTCTCCCTGACTGCTTATATAGGTTGCTTGGTTACCCAGTTCCATGCATGCTGGGAGAAAAGAGGTGGTGCACTGATTTAATCATTCCAAATCCTATTCATAATTTAATAGAAAATAAGTTCTTTAGCTCTTTACTAACCATCTAAAAATTTAGAGTAGCACAGTAACTTTCCCCCCACTAGAATCTCCTGATGATTTAATTTTTTCTTCACTTTCTCCATTGAAGAGTTCACCAGATGTGCACAGATATCTCTCTCTCTCTCTCTCTCTCTCTCTCTCTCTCTCTCTCTCTCTCTGTGTGTATGTGTGTGTGTGTGTGTGTTTATATATGAAAACTTTTATTTGATTTTTTTTCTGTGGCAAAGAATTACATTCCTGGAACCTGCTAGGGGAATTGGTGGTTTTAGGAGTTTATATTACTGGGGACATGAGTAATGAGTAGAAGAAGGAAGGGCAAGGTAGAACAAGAGAGAGCAAGGGAGAACTGATAGAAATGCTAACGACAAAAAATAAAGAAATATGGATAGGCTGAACCTGTTGTAAGTAGACTGATGTGGGATTCCTCTCTGTATCCTGTGATTACCATTAAAAAATAAAGAAAAATGGCTTGGCCTGATAGGGTAAACTGAACTCTATGCAATTTTGCTGTATTCTGACAATGAGCCTACATGCAGTCTGGCCATATCCTAAAATGAAGTGCCAGGCTGATTTGAAACATATTAGAATAAGGTTTTTGCCTGAACAAGGTATTCAGGAAGTGAGATGATTACTACTCTATGATTTCAATCATGGTTATGATGAGAACTTTCTGAAAGATGGGAAAAACTTACAAAATCGTGAAGGATGAGTGTAAGGAAATTTGAAGTCGTAGACCATGACAAGCTTGACAAAACATGTTCATTTGTCTATTTATTTATATATACATTCATACATTTATTTATTTATTTGTTCATTTATTTATTTTTTGTTTCTGAGACAAGATTTCTCCATGCAATTGTTCTGGCTTTCTTGAAACTCACTCTGTAGATAAGGCTGACCTTGAACTCACAGATATCTGCCTGTCTCTGCCTCTAGAGTGCTGCAATTAAAGGTGTACTTCAACACCACCTGGTGACAAAACATCTTCTGTTACTGTCATTAATCAAATACACCATTTCGTACATGAAAAAATAAAACAGACTTTAAAAGTAAAACCCCACCATCACTTGTGATAATGCAAATATATTGAAAGAAGAAATCCTAAACTAGCACTAACAGTGGTTCTCTGTCGCAGAATTCTCACTTAGGATAATATTGTTCCAGGACCAGAAACAAAGGCATTATTAAAAGAGCACTGAAACTGGTTTTCAGTTCACTTTGAACTTAGATTTGGCTGTAAAATTCACTAGTGCCATTAATGTGGTTCTGGCTTTGTTGGAAAAAAGTATACAAGAATGAAGGGCTTATTGAGTCTTCAACCAATATGCTAGAAAGGGACAGGGTCCAGATAATTTTTGACAGCTTCATATAGATTCTCTGTTACGAGGGTTTGAGAGAGATCTGAGGAGGATATAACAGAACCCCAGGAGGCTGGCAATTCCTAGACCTAAGGAAAGCTGCAGGCATTTTTAGAGCCACTTTAATGAGAAGCTACATTAGCTATAAAATGGATAACTGGAGGATTGGTATTCTTCAGTGCTATGGGAGTATAGATGATTTGATCATAAACTCAAGGTTCTACATACAAAACTAAAATTTTTGCTATCTTCCCTGCTGGATTTCTGTCTTTCATTGACTTGATCTTTCCTCAATGTTAACACAATTTTCTCTTTTAAAATTGGAACCTTTGCTCTCTGCCACTGTATTCAATGAAGTGTATAGCTTACTTTTTGAAATTTAAAAGTCAGAAAAGAGATGGGCTGGAGAGAAGGCTCGGCGGTTAAGAGCATTGCCTGCTCTTCCAAAGGTCCTGAGTTCAATTCCCAGCAACCAGGTGGTGGCTCACAACCATCTGTAATGCAGGTCTGGTGC